GTGTGTGTGTGTGTGTGTGTGTGTGTGTGTGTGTGTGTGTGTGTGTGTGTGTGTGTGCCATGAACTTTTTCTGATCTTGATGATTCAGATCTGAATCAGCCGTTTAAAATCACATCCCTCCCTAAACCCGACTTTAAACAAGACACGATGTTAAACTTGTCTACTGCTTTTCCATTTTTGGTCACCAGCAGCAGCAGATGATAATGCGTCTGTGCTCTGTTTGGCAGTGAACTGGGCAGCAGTTGATTGTTATCTGTTTGAGCATATGCCCGGGCATATTTATCACACGCAGCTCCTCAGGTTCTGCTGTTTGGAGGTGCATGAAGGGAAACGTTAGAGTCACACAGCTGCATAAGCAAGTAACCGTGAGATGAAGTGAGATAAGTAAAGGAAACAGGTTCTCCCTTTTTCAGGATGAATTTCCAGCGAATAGCTCCGGCATGTCTAATCAGGTTAGGGTGGGTGGGTGGGTGGTGAGAGGCTGAGTAGACAAACAAGTATGCTGCAGGGGTTTTGTCCAAACATGAAATGGGCAGGAGCTCGGCTCTGTTGTGCCATGTTCACACCTTCTTTTCACAGTCAATCATAGTGACTCTTACAACTGTCATTTGTGCCTGTTTGCTGTGTCAACAATAACTGCAGTGACGGTATGTGTCCCTGCACAAGCCCAACATCTTCCTTTCACTTTCCCCCCACTCTATCCACACAAAGTGAACTCTGGGTCACTCAGGAGGGAAGTTCCAGACAAGATGAACTTCACAAAGTGATGCAAACCCTTTCTCACCATTTCCTTACAGCTAAAACAAAAAGAGAAAAAGGTGTGCAGGTCTTACCCGATGATGTAAACCAGAACCCCCAGCTGGATGAGCCGGCACACCACTCCCACCCTCCTGTTCCTCACCAGCACCTGGCGGGGAGTCTCATACTCAAAGAAGAAGTCGGAGAGGGCGCTGGTGATTTGGTTCTTCATCTTCTCTCACGGCTGACCCGCAGGGAAGAGGGTCTCTGCTTCTCCTCACTTGCATATAAAAACTCCCAAGAAATTCTTTTTTGTTCTTCACTTGTGTCCTCTGCCTCCTCTCATGAATAATCTCTTATACTCTTCATGTGAAGTCCTAAAGTCTAAAGACTTCCTCCTCCCTTCCTCCTCTCTCTCTCTCTCTTGCTCTCCGTCTCTCCTCCTCTCTCTCTCTCTGCACTCGGTCGCTCTGTTATCAGCCTGTTGCCTTTTTGCGTAACTTGACCGTTTCCGTGCATCTCCTGGCTTTTCTCAGGAGACATAATAAGCACAGAGACATCTGTCGAAATTTACTGTTAACTTGGTCTGCAAGTTTCAATAACTTAACAGTTGCCACACACAAGCACCGGATGCCCTCCTCTCTTTGAGCAATCAAACCTTATCAGCCACGCTGACACTCTCTTCCTGCGTGCTACACAGAGATAGAAGCCACAGAAGCTAAGCATAAACATGTGCATCTTCCACAGTTCTGCATGTTTGCCCACTCTCGTCTCACCGTTTGTCAGGCAGTAAGCCTTCTTAACTTTTATCAACACCATGTGTGGGCGCACGCCGCCAAACACTTTGATTTTCTCATCCAGCTCAATAATTCAGGCCCCCTCTCTCCATTCTCATGCCGACGGCTGCTTTGCATTTTCTAATCTTCACAAAGGGAAGTCCAAATGGCCTCATGAAACTGTGAGGCTTTGAAAAATGTTGCTTCCACTTGTGAGCATTTCTTGCCTTCTCGCTCCCGATATAAATAAACGAGGGCATCTCGTCTGGAGTCAAATCCAAATCTAAATCTGGTTAAATCTAAAAGACACGAGTACATGCTGGGAATCGCCACAAAATGCCATGCATAGAATTTAGTGGGATTGCAAGGATTTGGAAGGATTTTAAGGATTTTGCAAAAAAAGGGCTGCATGACAATCAAAGTATTAAATGAAACGCTCTGTTAGCACAATTGGCACAAACTGCTGTTTTTATAGGCACACTGGTGGATAAATGACTGAGAAACAAGAGCGAGCGTCAGATCACTTTATAATTCAGGCACTTTTCCAGAGTCAAATGAATGTTTTCCCAGGGTGACATGCAGTGTGTGGCCCTGACTCCTGTGCTCCAGAACAACCCCGAGACTGAGGCTGAGCGTCACAATATGTGAATGAATGAACGCACCACGAACAGGAGGGGCTGGATGAGCCTCAGACTGACAGTAACTGGCAGAGACAGACTGAAGTCACGACTCGTGAATGACTGCGTAGAAAGGATTAGTGCTGACTGCATGCCTGAACTAACTATCTTCACTGAACTAGTTCCCGTTGTGGTTTTTCTTCTCCTCTGCCTCACGTATGTGCTGTTGGAGCAGTGAACTCTCACGAGAAACGTGGCCAAACCTTCAAATAATGAGACCAGTGCATGTAAAAGTAGCCCGCAGGGTTATAGCTGGTGATGGAGGACGCCGTGGCGGGCAGACTAACAGGAAGAAGCACAAAGACAGAAGCACAAATTCCACAAAATGGTAATGGGAGGGTGAACACGGGAGGAGGGGACAACACTGTGCACTGACAGGAGACACGTGAACCCACAGGTGAGAACGAGGCACAGGTGGGGACAGTGAGCACGGCAGCTGTGTTTCATGGCTTCCTGTCACAGCACCCGTGATGCTTTTTTATATTTGATGAAAGCACCACGACTCTGTTTGCTGAATGTTGCATTATTCTGACTTCTGCTGGTTCAGTATAGTCTCAGGCTCTTTGAGTTTAGTTACACAGGTTCTGCTTTTGGTTACAGTTCATATCCAATCCCCCCCCCCCCACACACACACATTAGGCACCTGTGTGTAGGGCTTTAGTTTGCATGTGTTCTTTGTTGTGGTGTCTGCTTCTCTACCTGGTCTGGGATTCATTCATGGACTTGTTTTGTGTCAGGCGCTTGTGAAGCATCAAATAAAGGTTAGTTCTTTAACATGTTCAGCTCTTTGTCTGCCTCGTGGTCCACATTACCACCATCACGCACAGAGAAAAGGTGAAGGGTTTGTTTACAGCTGACTGTATTTAATAACTGATCTAAGATGTGAAGACAACAAACAAGTATTTAAATGATGCTCCTTCATGTTCCAGTTGCAGCTGAGGAGGACTGAAGACAGTGGAGCGAAGGCACTAATGAGAGTAAAGCCTCCACAAAGCAATCATCAATGTAGAACAAGTCAGTGGGATAAAGTTATCCAGAGGGTAACTTTTTTTCTTGCTTGTCGGGGCAAGAGCCACGATTCGCTCCCGGGAAAGGAGACAAATTCCTTTGGGTTTGCGTCAGGAAGTGCGTCCGATTTAAACATCTACAAATCGAACATGGGAGCTGCTCGCTGTGACAACCTCTTGTTAGTAAGGGAGCAGCTGAAACAGCATTATCACACACGGCCCAGATAGCAAATATTCATTCAATTAATGTTTAATCAGCATCAGTTCAATGTCCTCCTGCTATCTGGGGGATCTATAAGAACTGGTGATGGGAATTCCCAGTCTCTTTAGATTCTTTATGATATCCTGCAGACTCTGCACTCGGCCTCTGTGTTGTCTATAAAATTCAAACGGTTCCAGATTGAAAATCTATTTCTATCTTGAGCCGAGCCACAAACAACCTGCACAGGCTCCTGAGAACTGTCCACCCATCAGTGCAAGGGGAAGATGAAACACAATCAGCTGAGTGTGATATTAATGAAGATGCCAGTGTGTCTAATGCACCTGCTGCTGCTGCATCTACAGCATCTTGCAGTACACCACCACCTCCACCTAAACCAACCCAGAGCTCTATGAGAGCGTTTTTGCAGAAGTCTGTGACCCAGCAAGACACAACTCAGTTGATAAAGACCTGAAAACGATTGCACTTGATTTCCAACTATTTTCAGTTGTGGATGATAAAGGATTCAGAAAGTTTATTCATGCACTGAATCCTATGTTTGTAATTCCAAGCAGGAAAACACGCTCCCAAAAAATCCTCCCAGGCCTGTCTGACAGAGAACACGCATCTTCTTTTTGTTTTGCACATTAATTTATATTTCATTGTGTTGTGGTTTGCAGTGTTTTGTGTTGTTTCACTTTAAATTTATTTAAAAGGAAAAAGCTGAAAATTTAAATGGTCCAAAGTTGAACTGTAAATAGTTGGTTTTTGTATTTTATAATGTATTATTAGGTGCAGTGAATAAATAAAAGCATATTTATATAATAAACATACATAAATAAAAAACTTTTTTTACATTACTATTTCATTTTGTGCATATTTTTATTGTTGTTGATAATAAATTAATTAAAGCAACAAAACAACCTGAAGAAAGAGCCGGCTCTCTAAAAAAAAATCCCATCACTGATGTTGACATGTGTGTCAGTGGGGCTGTTCACGATTCTGTCTGCATGTTGTAATATTAATACTGACTTTAATGACTGACCACAGACTTTTGGAGCTAAAAAAAAGAGTGGCACAGTAACCGTTTCTTCATCACACACGGACGGCTCTGGATCGGGTTTGTGTTCTTCTGCACTTTGCACAGCTCCTGTTTTGAGAACAGATGTCAGGTTTATACGGTGAAATTTGGAAGAGTGTAGTTCTCCTCTGACTGACTCCGGCTGAATCCACATGAATCTCAGCCCACAGGAAAACAGTCCCATCAGCTCCTGACATCAATAATCTGTCAGTTGTCCCTCAGTGATTTAAAAAAGAAATTCCCAAATGCCTAAAAGCCGTGGTTACGTAGTGTTTTGATAAGCTGACTACGTTAATAAGATCTTGGTACAATCCTGGTTATTAATGACATAAATGTCTTTGTTTATCAATTAATCCATTTTTACTATATAATCCACAGATTTTCATCTCACGCAAACTCGTGCTCGTAAAGTTAGTGTTAGTCTGACCTTTAGGGTGATAGTAGCTGTCAGAGTTTGAGTGGCAGTAACAACACAGGCAGTGAGAAACCGAAGGACACTGAGGAACAGTGAGGAGCGCCGCACCTGTAGAAATAAAGTGCTTTTCACCACAGGAAGTGAGTAACGTTAAAAAAAACTGTTGCAGTCGCTCCCATCTCATTTATTGTTTCATGTCCTCCAAACTAAAGTGATGTTAATGGACTAAGAAGTGTAAAGTGTGTATATATCCTGTTTTGTAGAGCACTCTTGTATTGCTTATACTGCAGTTTAAGTCACACTGGTGTCTGCTATATACTCCCTAAGACACACCTATTGCCTTGAGAACTGTTTAAACTGTGGCACAGATTCATTCCTCAGAGATGCTGGTTCATACAGACATGATGGCGTCACACAGCTGCCGCAGATTTGTCGGCTGCACATCCATGATGCCAACCTCCTGTCTCACTCGCTCATTTATAATAATAATAATAATACATTTTATTTAAAAATAGCACCTTTCAAAGCACCCAAGGACACTGTACAACAGGTAAAAACACAGAAACTGGAAATATACACAATAATAAGAATAACAGATAAAAGTTAGAGCATACAGAGGTTTAAACATAAGCAATTTTAAACAGATGAGTTTTGAGGGTGGACTTAAAAAGAGGGAATGAACTAATGTTTCTGAGGTCAGGGGGTAAGGAATTATGATGTAAGGAGTGGCTCCATCTTTCTCCTCTGAAATCTCTATCAGCATCAAGTCACCAGCTGCCGCTCACTGGATGTTTTGCTCTCAGCTGCTGATGCTGCCACCAACAGCCATGCCGCGTTCAAAGTCACTGAGGTGAACTCAGTCGCTTGCTGCCCTTAAAGACAGTTGAATAGCTGTACCTAATAACGTGGCCGGTGTAGTAAAGGCAAACTGTATGCATATGTCCAGGAGGTCAAAGGGCCGTGCGCCAGCACAGGACGTATGTTACTACGTGCTATAAACGCGACATTCCTGACTCGACCTATGACGTCAAACCTCTGCGCCGACCACGTGGGAAGGTTTTTTTTGCCGAGGTAGCAAAACATCCGCAGTGCCGCTCGCTGGTCTGGCAGCGAGTATGAAAACAACTTTATTTTCTTCATTTCTGGCGTGAAACAATCTGAAAAAGGGCCCTCAGCGGTTTCGCTCCCACAGTCACTTTTTCCAGAACATGCCTCACGACCCCGACCCTCCTCCGGCTAAAAGATTCAAGCCGGGATCCGTGTTTTTCCGCCTCGATAAGAACAAGCCTGGAATGCTGCTGCCTAGAAAGGGAAATGCGAGCACTCCGATAGACGTCCAGAGGAAGCAGCTTCCCATCTATCAAGCGAAGCCTCAGCTCCTGAGCCAGCTGAGGCAGCTGCACGGTGCTGTCCTCATAGGTGAGTGTTCACAGCTACAGCTAGCTGCTGCTACACCTGAGGCCAGCCGCACACGTGAACAACACTCTACACTGTAGTTTATCTTAAACTGCCTATTTTGTGTTGGGTTTGTGGGTAGAAAGTCTGGCTAACGTCTCTTCACAGACATGTGTCTTCTGTTATTTCTGCCCACGTGATAATCAAAAGTATGCAACGTTAAATATATAAATAGATTTAAAGTTTGCTTTGGGCTCCGCCCTGTATCTGTATGTGTCAGATAACTCAGTCCTGTGTGATCCGGCAGGTGAGACCGGCTCTGGGAAGACCACTCAGATCCCTCAGTATCTGTACGAGGCTGGCATCGGCCGGCTGGGCATGATCGCTATCACTCAGCCCCGAAGAGTTGCTGCCATCTCACTGGCAGGAAGGGTGGCAGAGGAGAAGAGGACTCAGCTGGGGAAGCTGGTACTCACGATAAACGGGATTCCCGTCTGCTGTGGACACCGGAGTTGATGCCTCTGCGTTGTTGACGTCTGCGCTGTGTTTCTGTTGCTTCCTCTTAGGTTGGCTACACGGTGCGTTTCGAGGATGTCACCTCCCCTGAGACAAAGCTGAAGTTCATGACTGATGGTATGCTCCTGCGCGAGGCCATCGGAGACCCCCTGCTGCTGCGCTACACTGTGGTGGTCCTGGATGAAGCTCATGAGCGCACTGTGCACACCGACGTGCTCTTTGGTGTGGTTAAGACGGCTCAGCGCAGGCGCAAGGAGCTTAACAAGATTCCCTTGAAGGTAGGAGCAAAGTTCACACGTGTTGTGACTTCAGCGTTTCTAGTAAACGCAGTGTGAATCGCCTCACTGCATCTGCTCTAAAGCCTGCACCTGGTGTCCTAACCTCCACAGGTCATAGTGATGTCGGCCACGATGGATGTGGATCTGTTCTCCGAGTACTTCAACAAGTCCCCCGTGTTGTACTTGGAAGGCAGGCAGCACCCCATTCAGATCTACTACACCAAACAGCCACAGTCAGACTACCTGCAGGCTGCTCTGGTCTCCATCTTCCAGATCCATCAGGTAGTTTCTGTGTCTCCTATTTCCAGTTTAGATGAAGCCAAACAAACGCACCGCTCTTCTTCAGCATCATTATTGGAAACACAGGTTAGGTTCTGTCGTGATGACGATTTTCCACACACGGTCATGCAGGAGGCTCCTTCATCACACGACATCTTAGTCTTCATGACGGGCCAGGAGGAGATTGAGGCACTGGCGAGGACGTGTCGGGACATTGCCAAGCATCTGCCTGACGGCTGTGGCCCGATGGTAGTTATCCCACTATATGCATCTCTGCCCCCAACACAGCAGCTCAGGGTCTTCCTGCCAGCTCCAAAGGTACAAACATGTCTCAACATCTCACACTGCTGCTCTCAGCAGTATCTTCTGATTTAGACATTCAGCATCATGTTGTAAGTCTTGCAAACGTTTTTCTCTCCAGGGCTGCAGGAAAGTCATTCTCTCCACAAACATCGCCGAGACATCAGTTACAATCTCTGGGATCAAATACGTCATAGACACGGGGATGGTGAAGGCCAAACGTTTCAATCCAGGTGAGAAGATTCAGATTGCAAACTCACAAATCATGCAGAGAGAAATACTTGTGCTTGAGTCTTTCCATTTAATACTAAGGGGGGAAACACGGTGCACCCGACCCCTGCAGTGCCTCCTGCGGGTAGTGGGCCTGCAGGAAGATGGGTCCGTGTCCCTTTTTCGCACTGTGCCCGGCGGGCCCCATGGATTTAGGCCCAGCCACCAGACGCTCGCCCGCAGGCACCCTCCCCGGGCCTGGCTCCAGGGCAGGGCCCCGGTAACCCTATCCCGGGCAGGGGGAACTGTTCCCTCGATGGGCTTCTTCTGAATTGTTCTTAGTCTGGTCCCTCGGTTGGGCTGCTGCCCCTGTGACTGGCTCCGGATAAGCAGAAGAAGATAGATGGATGGAAAAAACCCACAAATGGGAAAAAATGTGGTTTCCAGGGTTTTTTTGCTGTAAGGATCATTTAGATGTGTAAAAATATTTGTTTGGCTTGTGACCCTTTGAAAGAAGTCGAGCCCTCCCCTGTGATCCTAAATTGAACGGCACAGATAAGGTGTTCTCCTAACAGCGCGCATGATGTGACTCTCAGACAGCGGCCTGGAGGTGTTGGCGGTGCAGCGTGTTTCCAAAGCGCAGGCGTGGCAGCGAGCAGGCCGGGCTGGCAGGGAGGACTCTGGCTTCTGCTATCGTCTTTACACTGAGCAGGAATTTGACAACCTCGTCCCCACGACTGTTCCTGAGATTCAGAGGTAGGCTGTGGAGTCTGCTCTACACGCGTGATAGTAAAAATCCACCTCACGTGTCTCATTGATTTAGCTGTGTGTGATGCTTCTCACCCGCAGGTGTAACTTGGCAGGTGTGATGCTGCAGCTCATGGCTCTGGGGATTCCAGACGTGACAAACTTTGATTTCATGTCCAAACCTTCTCCAGGTAAGATGCTGTCAGTCAGGAATCCCCTCTGGTCCTCTGGTAAGCGTTGCAGAGTTAGCTGTAGTAGTGCTTTGTGTTTTCCACCAGAGGCCATCCGTTCTGCTGTGGATCATTTGGAGCTGTTGGGAGCTGTGGAGAAGAAGGACGGGCAGGTGTTCCTCACCACTCTGGGAAAGAAGATGGCGAGCTTCCCTCTGGAGCCCAGATATGCCAAAGTAAATCCTGCTGGTTCTGCTCTGATATTCTTTGTACATTTAGTCAAAGACAAAGTGTCAGCTCACAAGCAGACCCCTCTGTTTGCTCCACGCCGCAGACCATCCTGCTGTCCCCGGACTACTCGTGTTCTGAGGAGATTTTGAGCATCGTGTCGCTGCTGTCTGTGGACACCGTGCTGTACAACCCTCCGGCCCGGCGGGACGAGGTGCTTGCAGTGCGCAAGAAGTTCATGTCCAGTGAAGGAGACCACATGACGCTGCTAAACATTTACAGAGCGTTCAAGAAAGTCAGTGGCAACAAGGTGGGTGCGATGAACACAACTAGTGAAAATACATAAATGAAATCGTGCTGCTGAGCTGTCACGTGATCTCTGCTGCTGTAGGAGTGGTGTCGGGAGAACTTTGTCAACAGCAGGAACATGGGCCTCGTGAAAGACGTCCAGGCACAACTTAAAGAAATCTGCCTTAAGGTACATCTGCTGACCTGTGCCAGCACACAGGGATTCTCCCAGGAATCGCTGTTTATCCTGATCAACTACAGAGTATTTATTAACATTTAATGTGTAAATATTATTATGAATGTGCATCATCTCACAGGCTAACGCCTCCGGGGCTATTTTGAAAACAGCGAGTTGATGAATGGGTGCTTTCCTCCTTGATCTCTGCTGCACACCTGTCTTTGTGCGTCTCTGCGGTGAACGCATGTGACCGGTCTAATAAGTCACGTCTTGTTTTCCCAGCTGAACCTGAAACTGGAATCATGTGGAGCAGACACGGCGAGCGTTCGCCGCTGCCTTGCCCACGGGATGTTTGTCAACGCTGCAGAGCTGCAGCCCGACGGCAGCTACTTGGCTCTAGACACCCACCAGCCCGTGGCCATCCACCCGTCCTCCGTCCTTTTCCAGGCCAAGCCAGCGTACGTGGTCTTCAACGAGCTGCTGCACACCTCCCGCTGCTACATGAGAGACCTCTGTTTGGTCGACGCCGACTGGCTGCTGGATGCAGCGCCCGAGTACTTTGGCCGCAAGCTCCACCTCAACAAGAGCTAACCAACAAAGAAACGGGCCTCCTGCCACAAAGACTCTTATTGCAAGTTGGTGCAGAACGTTCGCTGTGTCGTAAACTACTCTGGATTTCACTACCTCCCAGTTGACAAGCATTGGGCATGTGTCACTGAAGCAGAAGTCTGCATATCGAAGCTTGACTTCCTCCGGACTGTCATTCCAATTTTATGAGCTGTAATTTCTTCTTCTCGTCATTTAGCCACACGGTTGGCCTGAAAAGCCAGTTTGCTTTGAAGTGTCTTGCTTTGATTCTTTCAGTAGTTGCATGCAGTTACACAGCACAGGTAACCTCAAAGGAGCACAGCACGGGGCTGTTCTCCACCATGTTCTTCTTCATTGCTACCAAATAGCCATGGAAACGCTACAGCAGACAGATCAGTGGCTGCTCTACTCTGAAGGATGAGTTTTTCAGGAGCTAAGAAAAGCACTCTGATTGTTTGGGGTCTACATGAAGTGGTCTTACAGGGGTTTCTTTATGCAGTCAAAGTAGATTTGTTTCAGTCTACTGTCAGCTGTTCCCTTATTCACAACATGAAAAACAAACGCAGCGTGTCACACTGACATGGTTTCACTTACACAGCCTTGTTAGCTCGTGCATGCTCTTCTTCCCATCTGCAGTCGTGTCACCGTCCAGCATGCCTTCCTCTCCAGGTTCTGCTCGTTGCTGTTGGTCGTGCAGATGCCCACGCAGTCACCACACGTACGTGCAGACGCGTGCAGCGCGTGGAGAATCTTTTCAGCGATCCGATCGCTCGGCTCCGTCACGCTTCGTAGAATGTAAATGACGGCGTGTTGATGAACAGGACGGAGTGTCTTTTTTTTTACACGTTGGACTCAGGATTGTAAAATATAACCTGAATAAAATATACAGTTTCTAACTTTGTAGTCAAACGCTGAATGCTTTAGAGAATTATCAAAAGATCTGATCTGCATGAAGTTTATTGGAACGAATGCACGCCTGCCGGGGCTCCTCTCTGCGTGGATCATCTGATCCTAATACATGTTTGTTACATATTCTAATAAAAACGAATCCACCTGACTCGGCACACGTCAGTCAGGTTCTAACATGTGTTTAGTGTTGTTGTGTTATGGCCATAGTATGGTTTAAGCACTGTGCGGAAGTCTTGAGCCACCTCGTTTTTAAAAACATTTTGCTTCCAAGCAGACGACCTAAGTGCTTTTGAGCAATAGTTCTCCAGGCTAAGCTCTCCGTTGGATGCTGGATGCTTTTTCACTCATTTTCAGTTCTGACCATTTTCAAAGGAACGTTTTGGGTTTTTTTAAATTATTATTCAAGTCTCTTAAACAGCCAACACTTTGCATAACTTTGAGGAAGAAGCCAGTGTTGTCTCCACATACAACCTGTCATATCTTTAGACGCTGTGTTACTATATCATTCGCTCCCATTTCTTTATTTGAATCAACAGAAAATGCCAAAGATGACATTTCCTCCAGGGGCTCGTGTTATGATGGAGTTATGATTTTGACCCACCATGCAATACTATCAGAAGAGTAGTGTGTTTGTTTTTTTTAGCATATTGGTCACAAACACTCTGCCAATGCAGTAAAAGTAGACCTGGATAGAAAAGCACGCAACAGCGCACCATCAGTCGTGGCCTGACGTCTCCATCGCTGAAGCAGTGAAGCAGCCGACATGCAAAGAAGAGCTTTGAATGTCCGTTAAGAAGCCCGGATGACTCTTCCTGAAGACTACTCAAAGAAATGGCAAGACTTGTCTAAGAGAGTTTAGGCTGTGATGAAGAATAAAGTGTTCATACCAAATATTTGGACTTTCAAGCTCATTAGAAGTGCACAAACTTATGTTTCTTTATGTTTCAATGGACTTATTTCCCATTGTAGTAGCAAAACAGAAATGAGAAGCGTCTCAAGACTGTGTTCATTGAGTCACTTCAGGTACACAGGATCTCCCTGCTGCCGTTCAAAGACAGGTTCACAGACGCTGTCTGCGGGCTGTTGAAACACTGGAAAGCAGCTCCATCTGCTGGCGGGAGGGATTCACATGATGCACCTGATCAGCGAAGTGTCTGTTTTACTTTGGCTGATGCACCCCCGTCCTTAGGAACCTCAGTCGATCATGTATGCACACACACTGAAACGGGAAATTCCTACAAATGCACTACGGTAAACCAATCGAAATAAACCCCCACAAGCTTTTCAGTAGCAGAACTGAGGCTGGGACTATTTTATTGAATCTTGACAGTTTTTAAGCCAAAGCGGGGTTTAACTCTGGAGCAAAGCCTTATTAAATCTCGCCCCTGCACGCAGATATTTTTGCACTTAATCTCCTTACATATGTATTTGTAAGCGTTTCTGTTTTGTGTCACAGCGTGAAGTTTTAGATTTGTAGCCACACTGTAAAAAGCTGCAGCGCCCTCTGCTCTCGCTGATTTGAACTGCAGGGGGCGCTGATGCGTAGACAATCGTCTACACACACGTAATTTTTCCAAATAACTTTAATTAGTTTATTTATTATTTATTTTTTCTGTTATAGTCCTTTTTGTCGTATTCGGTGTAGTTTTTTAATATTTAAAATTGCTGTTTCGTGTCTTTCGCTTTTAGAGTATTACTTCCGGCGCAAAGAGTATCTGGGTCAATGTGTCCTTCCACACGTGCTGTCGGCGTCTTCTAGAAGCAGCGTCGGTAACCGGTGTTCACAGTTAGCTGTGCGGCACTGAGCGCATTGATTCTGTCGTGACAGGTCGAGGGGTTTTTGTACAATCATGCTAAAGTCAGTCGTCCGTGCGGTGGGAGCAGCTGCTCGCCTTTCTTCAGCCAGCACCTCCGCAGCGCGAGTTCTGCCCCTCAGCTACCCGGCACTGCGCTCTCCGAGTCCGGCAATAACTCGGCCTTTCGCCCGGTCTCTCTGGCTGTTAAGTAATAACGGAGCCTCGTCTGGATACAGGCCCAAACTCTTCAGCTCCAAGGTGTTGAGTCCGTCGGTGTCGTGTGGCTGTGGAGGACTGCACACAGAAGGTGACGTTTGGTTTAATCTGCTTTATACAAGCCAGGCAGCCAATAAACGTAACATTAGACGGATCCGACAACTTGGACTGCTTGGACCAACACGTCCTTTACAATTTAAAGGGGTAAAAAAGATTGTTTAACGATCGTTATAGACTGAGATCAGCATCTTCGGAGTCTTTCACCTTAAACTGTGATTAGTGGCTGTCACTGAAAAAGGCTCTTTGATCATTCAGCACACGTGACACGTGTAGGACTGTTCATAGTGTCAAACGAGAAGTTTTTGGACAGCCACAAAGCAGATGTTTCATTTTCAGCAGTCTTACCAGCACCCGTGTGTTGTGTAAAATGTTAGAATCAGCCTCGATGGTCATTTTAATTGTCAAAATGAAACCTTTAAACAAACTGCATCACGTCTCATGATGAAACCATAACCTCTTTGTTCAGGTGACAAAGCTTTTGGCGACTTCCTGTCTGATGAAATCAAAGAAGAGAAGAAGATCCAGAAAAACAAAAGTCTTCCTAAGGTGTCTGGAGGATGGGAGCTGGAGATGAATGGCACAGAGGCTAAACTCACAAGAAGTGTTTCTGGAGAAAAGTAAGTCTGCTAAAATGTGTGGGCAGCGTGGCGTGACAGACGAGCTCACCGTATTTCTGCTCTTCACAGAGTCACGGTCACATTCAACGTCAACAACAGCATTCCTCCCAACTTTGAGGAAGAAGTGGAACAGACACAGCAGAAATCAGCAGAAGAGGAGGTGAGGCACAGCCAGTGGTTGGACGAGGTTAAGCTTTTCAACACTGACCTGTGTGTCCTTCAAACATAACCAAAGACGCCTACGAAAGACAACAGACAATTTAGAAAAGAACTTAAACTTGTATCTTTAAGCACTTCGTTGCTAGCAGCCTGTCACAAAAACATTTATTCCCATTTCTTTAGTAGAAACTGTGAAAAACACGCCAGCGATGGTTGGACGCAGTTTGACAGGTTAAACATTGTATTTCTGCAACAACAAGATGATTCCCAAAGAGCTGTCATTGCAGCATGTTGTGCAATATGGCCTTTTAAAAACATCTGAGGAAACTGGACAACAAGTGATAGGCCTAAACCAGGGGGGTCCAACTCCAGGCCTCCTGCAGGTCTTAGATATCACCCTGCATCAAGTGATTAGTTCGTTACCAGGCCTCTGAAGAACTTCAAGACATGTGGAGGAGGTCATTTAGCCATTTAAATCAGCTGTGGTGGATCACCGGCCCTCGAGGCCTGCAGTTTGACACCCCTGCCCTAAACTATCTACAGCAGATGAAGAGTGTCTGAAAGCTGCGTCCTTAAGAAATGGATGAAAAAATACAGCAAAGATTTGACAGAGAACACGAGAGAAGTTCGTTTATCTACTTCTACTTCTACTTTCATGTCTGCACTGGTTTCAATAGACGCCTCCTCCATTTGCTCATTTCCTAACAACACTTAAACGCTTGCACAGCGCCGTAGGCGGCTCCTGCCTTACACACTGACGTTTTTAACCTTAACGTTTCACGTATTAAGCTTTTTCCCCCTTTTTGCAGCCGGAGATTGTATCAACACCCAACTTTGTTGTTGAAGTGACAAAGCAGGCTGCCAAACATTCCCTGGTGTTCGACTGCCATTTCCCTGAAGATGAGGTAAAGTCAAATAAAATGAATGTCTAATACTGCCAGTAGGAGCAGTACAGTGCTCAATACTGAACAATTTGTATTTTGTAGATGAGTCACGGTGAGGGAGAAGAGGAGAGCGACATCTTTGCCATTCGAGAGGTCAGTTTTCAGCCACAGGGAGATTCAGAGTGGAAGGAGACGAGCTACAACCTCAACACAGACTCTTTGGACTGGGTGAGAGCCGAGGCAGTACACGCAGCAACGGTTCAATTATAACAGTCACTGAAACCGCCGCTGTGTTCAAGGTTGCTTACTTTCTTGTACTGTTTCTCAGGCCCTGTATGACCATCTGATGGACTTCCTGGCTGACCGTGGGGTCGACAACACCTTCGCCGATGAGCTCACGGAGCTGAGCACGGCCATCGAGCATCAAGAGTACATCAAGTTCCTGGAAGACCTCCAAGGCTTTGTCAAATGTAATTAACCTTACTTCAGTGCACATTCTGGGAGAGTTCGAGGTGAGAGGGTACAGTTAGACTAAAGCACTCGGCGGTCAATCGATATGTTTGATGACCCTAAAAGACTGATGATGCCATCGGCCAGCAGCTGTCACGTGGCTGCAGATGTGCTTTTTGTGACGCTATTTTTCTGTAGCTTGAGGTTCAGACACAAATGTATGAAAAGATTTACATGTGTATAATCTGCTTTATTGCAGTCAATATTTAAATATTCTAACAGTGCTCAAGCCAGTAATGGGACAATTTGTCAAAGTGAGACGTTGAACATTTCAATAAAAATCATCTCTTTTGTGTAAATGTGACAGCCTCTGATTTTAAAGCGTGACCACCTGGCTTTGAGTCTAAAGTGTGGCCTTACTGAATGTGAATCATGTTGGTCAGAGGAAGGAACGGCGCTGTTCAATAAAACGGTTTAATACAGTACGTTTGTCTATTTTCATTTTTACATGTGTTCATACAGTGTGACTTTATTTCATGCACTAAAAAGTCATTTTAATTCATAAACTAGTTTTTGACACTGTCACCAGCAGGCACACAGCTAAGACCCGTCAAGCACCTGATATTTTGAGCTCTTGCTTGGTCAGTAGCGTTCTGGTTACAAAGTAACAGAAATGTGTCGATTGCTTGCAGCTTCATGCATATTCAGATGCAGATATTTGTTTCTAGACAACATTTTTAAAAAGTCGTTACTTTTGGCCCTTGAACAGAAAGTAATCCAAGTTTTAAGTCAGTTAAGTTGTTATGGGCTGAAAATGTGGTCATAAATATTTTGTACTTGTAAATCAGTTTCGTATGTGTAAAAAGAATTTGTGTGTGCGTAACAAAGATTTGTGTGTGGACTTAGAAAAAAAAAAACCCTGCAAGTTACAAGTACGAATTTTGACCCTATTTTTCTTCCTTTCATCTGATTGGTCAATGTCATGTC